AGTTTCATTACACAGCCAAATGGCCATAGCATTATTGGGGTGTTTTATTTTTAATCAAAGGAGTGTGAAATTTGGAGATATGGGAGGCTCTAAAGAATGGATTAACCCTGACAAGTTCCAGATGGGTAGACACAGCAGTTTTCACACTAGCCACCTTTAAAGTTTAAAGTGTTTGGAAATTAAAATAGATGTAACGATTAAGGTTTTTTTCCACATAAAAGCATGAAATCTGTAGACATGGTAGCTCCTGCCAAATTTCAGATGGGGAGTTTTCATGCTAGCCATCTTTAAAAATTGCTTTTTCCATATTGAAAATATTTTTTTAAAAAGACTACCGGTGATTAATCATGTCAATTCTTTGGTTCCTGTGATAGCCCTGTTCCTTTCATCAATATTTTGAAAACATCAGAGGGTTCCCACCCAAAATTATGCATATTAATAATATTTACTGTGCTTAGTAATTAGAAAATGATGATGTATTCCATTCCCTCACCCCCTCCTCCCCTTCACACACAGAGGGCAAACTGGTACCCTCCATCTTTCTCTCATGCCTCTCCCATATTAGAGAAGAGGGTATTTTGCAAAACAAAGCAGCATTTCTGCAAGAGTACTTTTAAACCTCCTCATGAGTCTGAGTGGTTGGTTGTCTTGTAGACCCACAAGAAGTGATTACTACAGCCTTGGGCAAAACTCTGATAGAATTCCCAGATGAACTAGCACAAAGCTAAGCACCTCCTTTTGACCTGTCAGCTCATTAGCAGAATACAGAAGGCTAATCTGGTTAGACACTTAAAACCAAATTAAAATTCATTCAGTGAGAACTATGCTGCTGTATGTTGAAAAGCTGGAGAGAAGGGTGAAGGCTGTCACTCCCATTCCGTTAAATTTGGAACTTTAGAGGCCTGGGTTGGTTGATTTTTACTATCATGGAAATGTAAGGTTTTTTTAATTTCTTACCTGATCTTCTAAGAAAAATTGTTGTTCAGTAAAAAAAATATCAAACCCGGCAAAGCTTCCCTGCTCCCAGCCCCCAGTGTCTGATGCTGGGCTATTACCATAAAAAACGCCAGTGATGTGTGGAATTAAGATGCCTATTAAGTTGGGCTGTGGAAATTTCCTTGGGGTGATACTTTCTCCTTTTTGATTTGAAAAGCAACAGTTGAGATAAAATTATATGACTTGTCCTGAAGTTTTAAGGAGATTTAGTTTGTTGAGGTTCAAACTATTGCATGCACACCCAGCTAGCACACAATCGCCTATTGCCCCCAACCCACCGCCCAATGGGTTTTGATCTGAGGCAACTGCTCTGGAATCAGGGTAAAGTAGACTAGAAAGGAAACTCCCCTCATATATTCCACTCATTACCTTATCAATGAAGGCAGTAGTTTTCAACCTTTTTAGACATGGGACCCAATTCTTCTTCATCTTTTTACCACATATTTTGGTGGTGGTAGAGCTGCTGTTACGGCCCACCTTGGATAGGCTGTGATGCAGCAGTGAGTCCTGTCTCACTAGTTGAAGACCAATGTATTTGGGAACAGGAAGTAATTTCTTGGTTAGTTACTGTCAGAATGGAAGGAAATGTGGAATGCCAATGCACCTGTGGATGAATTTGGGCCATGAAGGGTTAACTCTCATTAGGAAACGAAGTCTCCATTGGGCTCCCAGCTGAGCTGCCTTATGTTCGTTGGCAAAATGCAACTAGGATGGACAAAAGATGCTGTTACGAGGTAATAAAATGGCAATTGAAGGTGATGGCCAATTAAGAATTAGGTAAACAGCTGCTTTTCTGCTTAACAGCCTCAAAATACATCAATAAGAAAGAAATATTGGTGAATCTAAATGGAGCGGTTTCACACCTCCCTAGCCCTGAGCTGAATACTGTAGCCATCCATAGCATGGAGCATATTGCAACCTACCCAGCCATTGCCTCGACTGACAGGGCCAGGCACATTTCCTTCAGTGGCACATGGCGCCTCTGCTGTGCACCCATAGTGTCCTGCTTGGAGCATGAATAGCCTGTGGGCTGCAAGAGTGGTGACTGGATTGCTCTGTGGGGGGACATGCATCCTTTCCCCCATTTGAGGTAATGGACAGGGCACACCACAGTGCGATTATAAACCTCTTTGCACAGTAAGTGTCCCATAAAAATAGAAAATGATCATAGTACATATAAAGTATGCTTCTATGGAGTTGATCTGAAAAATACGTCTTTGGGATTGTGAAGAATAGAAAAGCTCTGATGTCCTCAAACCATAAGTACATGCATGCTTGGTCTCTCTTTAGAATCTCAGCAGGTTCTGACAGTTGACAGGCGGGTAGAGATTTATAAGACCAGACTAATTGCAGCCCTTGGCTGGCTGTGCAGTGCAATGGATTTATAGATACTGTAAACCTCAGGAAGCATCAGTACAAAGGCTTGTAGATATGCTTCTGTTGGTTCCTATTAAGACAGAGGTACTGACCTGTCTACCTGCACAATCTCCCCTCATTGGTTGAAGGTGTGCATGCTGGCTGACATGGATAGGCTTCAGCTGCAGAAACATTCCCAGTGAACAGGGTCTACACTTTTGCCTCCCCCCCCCCACCGCCAGAATATGATTGCCACTGTCATTAGAGATTTCATGGGGGCTTTTGTTGTTGTTTAGTCATTTAGTCATGTCCGACTCTTAATGACCGCACAGATCAGAGCACACCAGGCACTCCTGTCTTCCACTGCCTCCCGCAGTTTGGTCAAACTCATGTTAGTAGCTTTGAGAACACTGTCCAACCATCTCGTCCTCTGTCGTCCCCTTCTCCTTGTGCCCTCAATCTTTCTCAACATCAGGGGCTTTGGGGGCTTATTCCCAGGCCCTGGATGGCGCTCCTGGCATTGACAGCGCCAAGCCCAGTGGTCTCAAGCAGAAGGGTTGGTCAGCTGCTAGTGACCTGGTACCATTCCACCATTTGCCTCCTTCCCCAGCCTTCAGGGTTTCAGTCCAGCAACTTCAGGGGAATCATGGTTGTGGAAGGCTGGTTTAGACGAGTGATTCTCAGCCTGGACTTTGTAGCCAGAGGTGAGCTTCCAAAATCGTGTATGTGTGTCCCCCAGTTATAGCCCACATTACTCAGTAAAGAGTCATTGTAGCATAGTGGTTACAGTGTTGGACTAGGCCCTGGGAAATCAGAGTTCAAATCCCCACTCAGCCATGAAGCTCATTAGGTGACCTTGGGCCAGTCACAGTCTCTCAACCTAATTTTCCTCACAAGATTTCTGTGAGGATAAAATAAGGAGAGGGACTACTGTGTACACCATCTTGAACCAGTGCCGAATTATCAAATAGGCAGAGTAAGCACTGGCCTAGGGGCCCTCACGCCTTTTAGGAGCTCCATAACAACGGATCAAAATAATATTGATTTGATCTTGAAATAAAATTACAAAAACATATTAGGATATAATTTGCAAGCCTCCCCACCCCCTGGCCGAGATTTCAACTGCCTAGGGGCCTCCACAGGGTTTAATCCAGCACTGTTGTGAGTTCTGTAGAGGGGTGGTATAATAATAATGTAATAAATGATAAATAATAATGAATGGTGTAAATGCAATAATAAATAAATCATAGAGCAAACCAGCGTTTCAGGGACTCTGAAAGGCTCTGGTAGCCATAGAGAATGAACATCTGAAAATAATGGCAGAAATTATGTGCCTTAGAAGGACTAGCGACTGAATCTATTTGTCTGTTAACTACTTTCCTATTACTTCAGGCTCTGCTTCTGCCTGAACAACCCAACAGTATAGCAGTTCTTGGAATTCAGTGGACATTTATTAAAGTTAACGCAGGGGCACTTGCATTCATCACTAGTCAGGTGACATTTGAGAATTACTGCAGTTTGGGACTGACCTATGAAATGATAGAAAAACATAAATCCCTGTGCAGTCATTGCAGTATTATACTGTTCAGTTCAATCAAAAATACAGCTAGAAAATTCTAGCATTTAGAAATGCCTGGGAAAAAAGTAACCTTTTCTAGAAAATAATTTTTTTTTTCATAACTCATGATTTTCAATCCAAGCCTAGCAGGAACAGAATCTTTTTTTCAGATATCTATCTATCTATCTGACCTTTAGTTACATTTATTTCATATATATTTCTTTAAAAACAAATCCCATTAACGCCTTCTACAGTTGAATTACTTAATTTTCTTTCCATTTAAAGACTACTCACTAGCGTCTAGTGCCTTTTACAAGCTGCAGATAGGCAAAAACTGAGGTCTAATCTTGATGTAGTAATCCATAGGACTAATCTGCTTTAATATAATTCCACACCATGTTCTTTGATTGAAATAGACAATAAAGTGCTAGCAGCTGGTCTTAAACATATGGACAAATGTTGTACAATGGAGTCATGTACATGGTTTCACGCAGATCATCCTTCCTGTGTGCTGTCTGCATATATCAAGAAAATCGAGGTAATTATTATGAGTGTGCTTAGAGGATTACAACAACAAATTTATTTATTAAATTTGTGAGGTCCATGCCTTTACACAAAATACCATAAAACATTGTTAAAAGATAAACCAGAAAGATTATAAAAGTAAGCTAAAATTCATGCCATGTTGTCCCAGCAAGGAAACTACCCAAAAAAACCCCACCATTCAAGGAAGAAGGTACAGCAACAGGTTAGGAGAGCAATGGGAGGGACCTCACCGTTTCATCCAGGAACCATACCCTAGTTTTCATAGCCTTCACCACAAAGACCGCTACCACGTGAGAAATCCGTGGATCAGCGTCTACCAGTAAAAACTTTACTTGGTCCTCAGAGTTGACTATTGATTTAGGAATAGTTTGTAACATCGCATCCCTGAAGGCCGAATAGATGGGACAATACAACATGTAATGTATGAGATCCTCTTTGGTTCTCATATAACAAGGACATATCCGCTGCTCTACTGGGATTTTTGCATATCTGCCTGACAGATAGGCCGTAGGAATGGTTTGAAAACGGGCCATAGTAAAGGCTCTCCGAAGGGTGGGATTGGTGATATTCGCCAAGTAGTTGGCGCAGATTTTGACTGCTTTCAGTCGGGGAAGCCAGTGGGAGGACCCTGGGATCTGTATTTTTGTGGTATCTAACAGAGCGTCTCTCTCCAGGATCCATTTCCGGACTTTGTCCGGGCTCCACCGTTTGAGGATATTAAACTCCGGTAGGGTGTATCTAACCAGGATCTCAGATAAGTTTTGGCGCCAAGTGGTATTCTTTTGAAAAGATACGAAGGCTTGTTTGGCCAATAAGGTGTTTGAAGAGTTTGCAAGGTTGATGTAAAATCGTAGGAATCTTAAGTGGGCCCTGGCAGACACAGAGGGTAAACCAACCTCCACCCTCAAGAAGGCTGCTGGGGTTCCTTGAGGAAGGCCTAGAATCTTCTTGAGATAGTAGTTTTGCAAAATTTCAAGCCGTTCCAACAGCCTCTGGTTCCACCCCCAGAGTTCTATCCCATATAACATCTGGGGAATAGCTTTCCCAACGAAAGCTCTTAATGCCGGGATCACCAATTGTCCTCCCCTGGTATGGAAGAAACTAAGCAAAACACCAATTGTTCTTCGTGTTAGGATGGTTACAGCCTTAAAGTGGGCTAGCCAGCTAGATGTAGCCTGGAATGTAACACCCAGATATTTAAAAAAGGGCACTGTTCAATCACTTGTTCATCTAAAGACCATCTAAAGGTGTGGCGAGCTCTAGTAAACACCACAATTTTTGTTTTATCATGGTTTATCTTTAGTGAATTATGGGAACAGTAGGCTGCGATCCCTCCAGCATGCTGCGTAAGCCTCTTCGGGTGAGTGCCATTAAAACCATGTCATCGGCATATAGCAAAATATTCAGGCGTTTACCTTCAAGGGCTGGAGCCGATGAGTTGTACTTTGCCATGTACTGGACAATGTCGTTTATATAAAAGTTGAAAAGAAATGGGGCTAGCAGGCATCCCTGTTTGACCCCTTTCCCCAATGGCAGTGGGTCCGTAAGAGTTCCCGATGGCCCAGTTCTGATTTTGACTGTAATGTCTGTATGTAACTCTCTGAGAATTTTTAAAAGTCGTCTGTCAATGTCCGTTTCATATAATTTTTTCCATAGTCTATCTCTACAGATTGAGTCGAAGGCAGATGTCAAGTCTACGAAGGCCACAAAGAGTCTGCTCTTATACGCTTTTGCATATTTAGCTACCAGGGTCTGTAGTACCATACAGTGACCTATCGTATTGTGGCCCTTTCTAAATCCTGCCTGTTCCTGGTTGAACAGGTTAGAATGGTCCGCCCAATCTACCAGCTTGTTTAATAGGTACCGGGTATAAAGTTTGTATGCGATGTCCAGAAGGCTTATAGGGCGGTAGTTTGCTGGATCTTGAATGTCTCCCTTCTTATAGATAGGGACTACCACACTTAGTTTCCAATTTGCTGGGATTTTACATGTGTTGTTCATTGCCGTAAAAAGTTTGGCCAAAAAGATGGCCCACCATTGGGCATTTAATTTAAAAACCTCAGGGGGGATCATGTCCTCGCCAGGAGCTTTGCCATTTTTAAAGTTTTAATTAGCTGTAGGCACTCTGATTCCGTAACAGGATCCCAACTAACTAGATGCTCATTCTTCAATGGGAGGAGCGGACTCAAATTAGCAGTATTTGAGAGTGTGTATAGCTTGAGAAAGTGTTGATACCACACATCGGATGGAATACTGCTGTTTACAATTTTTCCTTTGGATGAGACTCCCTGTGCTACTATTGCCCAGAATTTTCTATCGTCTCGCGATTTAATCGCCATATCAAGTGCCTCCCATTGTTTCTTCCTGTAAAGGGATTTCTTGAGTTTTAAGGTGTATTTATAGTGAGAGCGCCATTTGTGGAAATTTACCATAGATGACAATGTCCTCTCCTGTTTTACCTTATTTTGTTGTTTCCTAAGCAGGGATCTTAGCTTCCGGCAGTCTTTGTCAAACCAGGCCCCCGATTTGTTATGTTGTATGGGAGGCCTGGTGTTTATAAGAAATGGGGAAAGGGACTCTGAGACCCGCTGATATAGTGAAAAAGGATCAAAGTTAGGTAAAAGACACCGGTCTCTCAGAACCAATAGATCTGGAGAGTGCAGGTGTTGATTAATTTTAAGCTCCAGCTCGCTGTTCCATTTACGCCTGCGTGGGGCCGGTGCTTGAGGAGGGGCTGCTTAGAGGATTACACTAAATACTAGGAGTTTTATTCAGTCTCAGTTGGGTGGTGTGAGAGACAGGGTGGTGTGGTGGTTAGAGTGCTAAATTAGGACCTGCTTTTGGTTCTGCTTTTGGGCTTCCTATGGGCATTTGGTTGGCCACTGTGGGGGCTAGATTGGCCTTTGGCCTGATCCAACAGGGAACTTGTGCAAGCTGAGTCACTGTCTGGAAGCAGAGCCAGAAAAAGATCACAGTTCTTTACTCGTGACTGCTTTGTAATTAGATGTCTGGACCTTCCTTTGCAGTAAAAAAATAAAATAAAATAAAAATCTAAGAATTTTAAAAGTGCTTGTCATTAAACAAAAATCAAAAAGACACCAAAATCCACGAGCTCAGTGAGTCCATAGAATCAAGAGGGGTAACAATTGAGTTAAGCCCCTGCCTATCAGGATGCTGCTCCCTATCACTTATACTTCTAGCAGGTAGCAACAAATATCTTTGAAATACTAACAATATACAAAATGCACAAGAAGTAAAGAATATGGACAACTTGAATTTCCAGATATGTTTTATGTAAACCAAATGAAGAGATATTTATATAAGCAATGGTGGCTTGAGGAAATCTCGGCCTTTCCAAATCCAAGTAAGTGGGATTGTTCTCTATTTGGAAAACGAAGAAATAGAAAGGAAAATTGAACATACATGTAACACGGATAGATTTGTTGCTAAAACACGGCAAATAGATTCGTAAAGGTGATGATCCATATTGGGGCAATTTTTTGTAATAGGCCAACCAAAGTATCAAAAATAAATGTGCAGCTTTTGGGTTTTGCAGAATTCTTCATCAGGCTAGATCGTAAACAAAGTGAGGGGCTGGGGAAGGAGATATTTCAGAATCTTAAAACAGGACACGGAAGGAAGTAGCAGACATTGAAAGAAGGTTCTTTTAGGTACTGCGTGAGAATCAGGTTGCAACAAAGCATAATGATGACTCATTCCCATTCTTTTATTTCAGTGGAATCTTACAGCACAATCCTAGTAACGTCTGCTGAGAATTAATTCCTATCGAAATTAATCAGCCTTGCTCCCAAGCAAATGGAGTTAGGATTGCGGCCTTCCAGTTACAATAATCTGAGTCAATGCATGGTTTTTTCAAACATGAATTTGTATGAATTTACTCTCCATGGCTCTTATAACACTTTGATTTCTTCCTTTCCCATTGACATAAGGCTTCTGAGGTAAAGTCTTCATGTCAATAAGCACATGATTGGCGATGCAGTTGATCCCACAGATGACAGCGGTTGTAGAAGCTGCCGGAATTCTGGTTAGTGTTCCAAGTGGAAGACGAAGAAAAACACGTGAGGTGCTTTTGTTTCAAATTAGGTCTGATTCAGTGGTGTTGACTGAAATGAAGTGGGGCTGGTTTAGCTCTATATGAAGCCACATGAAATCCCAACCCCAGCTACCTCACCCTACTTTGAGCACTGGCTTATAGCAAATTGGGAGGCTCCTCCTTAGGCAAGACAATCTCAATAATTTTGAGGGGATTGTTTTGATATGGAACTGCTTGCTCAAGTGCATCCCTAGTTGTAGCCAAGTCAACAACATTAATAGTGAACTGTGAACACATCTGGGGACCGGGATTGTGTATTTGGTTCACAAGGATGCATTTCCCCAAAACTTTCCTAGCCAAAAATAAGAACAAAAGTTTCAATTTCAATGAAAAATTCACTGTTGCAAGAAGTGATTTAAAGTAAGTAAATCTGGGGAGTGACAGTGAGGAATTAGCTAAGGACAGGAAGGACAAAAGAGTCCTGAGGTTTAGCTCAACCAGCCATGGATGAGAGATGGTAGCATGCACTTTAGGGCTTCAGATGCTATTAAAGTTGAGAATAAAGCCTGTAAAAGAGACTCTTCCACCACATTCCTTCCTTGACTAATGTTGGGAACCTCCGTCTCCTCCGAGACAATGAAGAATGGCTTCAATTTTACTGTGGGGCAACTTACATCCAGATCAACATGCCAAGGATTGCATCCCCTAAGCCATCCTAAGATCACTCCTGCCTGCACAGGAGGTGGGGAAAGGTGGACAAAGAGGGATAAATAATGTAAGCGCAAAACTACTTTAGAAATTCTAACAATTAAGTAGTGTACAACAGTGGTGGAGGAAGGGGGTGCGGGGAGTGAGGGCTGCTCCAGGTGTCATCACTGAGGGGAGTGACAAAATGACAAAAATATGAGTTTTTGGTTGTTGTTTTTTAAAAAACTGGTCTCACAAAACTTTTTAGTTCAGTCAACAAATGTAATGAAACATGGCTGGCAATGGGTGCTACACCTCGGGGGCTGGCACTTACTGTTGGGCCTGCAGTGTGCCCAAGTCATGCGTCCATCCTGGGAGTGACATGGTGGCTTGGGCACCTGCAGGCTCCGCACTGCCTAAAACAGCAGCATGGGACTTGGGTCTGCCCTCTGCCTCTCCCTCAGCTACCCTACAACTGAGGGGGAGGTGGTGGAGAGGCTCCACACAGCACGCCCCGCCCCCATGGCCGGCTCGCCCTGCATCCAGCTACAGGGCGTGCGGCCCGCCCCCAGCACCCGAGTGGCTAGCTACACCACTGGTATACAAATGCCTTATAGAAATTAAATTAAATAGGCTATAAATGATGAAGTTCGAAGTAAAAGGCCTAAAAACAATGCAATAAACCAAACAGTTAAAACTAATTACAACATATTTAGAAGTCAGGTTAGAGGCTACCAATCTGCCTAAGTAAAAATGCTTTTGCCTGATGGCAGAAAAGTCATTCTGGACTGGGCTAGCTGAGTCCCCCTTTGGTGAAGCGCTCCAGAGCCTAGAAGCAGCCATTGGGAAAACCCTGCTATACATTCTGCCTACATGTGCTTCAGCTGCTGGTGGACCAGACACAAGGGCTTCTCCTAAGCATCATGTATCCCAGGCAAACTCATATGGGGAAATGCAGTCTTTCAGATCACTTGGTTCCAAGCCTTTCTAGGTCACAACCAGAATTATGAACTGGACCTAGAAACTATCTGTGCTGAAATACAAAGTTATCAAGCACAGCTGTGTAGCAAATCAGCAAGAGCAATCAAATAACCTGATTTTAAACCAGCGAGTTGACTTCCTGGAAAGCCTGGCCAAATAAAAAGCTCAGGGCAAACATCAGATAATTATTTCTTTTAAAAACACCTCATAACAATTGATTCAAAAGCTTTGGCACAGTCAGGGGAAAATATTCACAAATTGTACTTGAGAAACCAAGCTTTTCAAAGGAACGGAGGCAAAGGCAATTATATCCAGGGGTGGGTAAAGAGAACCAAATATCCATAAATATTTTGAGGGAGCTCCAGAGAAGCTAGAGGAAGGCAATGGGGAAATGTTTATAATTAATTGAACAAACCAGGGTGGGTGGGTAGGAGATTTGAAATAGGAAAAAAAATCTGTCTTATACTCCATCTTATAAATTTGGGGGAAATGTAA